ATAATTTTTTTTTTTTTTTAATTATTATTATTATTATTATTTTTTATAATGGTAACATGTATATTAATAAATAAAAACAACACTAGGGCAGTGCCAAGCCATATTTACAAAGAAAACAAAAACCAGTTATATCCACCTAAGATTACAGTGCACCTATAAGGTCTACTAGAGATTATGCCTCCTCTACACAGCTTTCTTTACACCAGAAATGAAACAAAAGAAAACACTTCATCTTGATGTTCTGTAAAGAATTGCTTGTCTTCAAAAGTTCTTCATTTTCTCTCCTTCCAGATTGTCCACCATATGCACGCAGGAATCAATCTCCACCATTTCTTCTGTCTCACTATACCCCCATTATAATTCCAACACTTCAGCAGAACACAAGTGTTTGCTGGCATGCTCCATTTAAGTCCCGCAATATTAAGAAAGAGCTGCCACAATTGGTCAGTAAAAGGACAATGAAGAAACGAATGGCTATTAGTTTCTATAGTTGTACCACATAATAGGCACCTTGAGCATAGCTAAAAACCTCTTCTTCTCAAGTTCTCTTGGGTTAGACAAGCCTTTCTTGCGACTAATCATGAAAAGCATACTACCATGAGAGGTGCCTAGACTTTCCAAACATACCTCCAAGCCAATGTTCTAACTTTGGTTTGGAGTAGAAATTAAGGTATATGCAGATTTGAATGTAAATTTTCCATTCCTGCAAAGGTTCCAACAAAGTTTATCTTCAGTTTCTCCGAGACCATGAAATTCTTCCAAGATATTAAAGAAATTCACAACCCTCTCTAATTCCCGGTCATTCAAGGCCCTCCTAAAAGTAACATTCCATCCTTGTTGTCCCCAGCAGTGTCTAAAGTGGTTGTAGGTGATGTTGCAATGCTGAAAAAATCAGGGAATAGTTCTTTGAGAGGGCTATATCCTAACCAGTTATCACTCCAGAAAAGTGTTTTCCTTCCATTACCTACCTTTATGGTGGTATTATCAACCAAAGTATTCCAGTGAAGTCTGATTGACTTCCATAACCCAACCCCATATGGACTATTAACAATGTTAGAGTACCATTGTCCATTTTGTCCATACTTGTCGCAGATGACCTTTCTCCACAAAGCATTAACCTCCAGATTATACCTCCGAAGCCACTTCAAGAGTAAACTTTGATTGTAATGCGCCAGACCAGACCGCCTAACCAGTTGAACCGTTCTCTTATAGAACGGGTAAGCCGTCAAGTCAAAGTACGTATTTGAGGATTGCCTCTCTTGCTTTAAGGTTCCTAACCCCATGTCTTTGCTTGTGATAAGGGAATTCCATTTAACCAGATGAATAGCTTCCTTCTCGCTGTTTCCTTGCATATAAAGTTCCTTCTTAATATATTCTTTTCCTCACCTTACTTGGTAAAGGAAACAAAGACATTACATATGTCGGAAGTGCATCCAAGACACTATTAACCAATACCACCTTCCACCCAAGGATAAATACTGGCTCTTCCAGATTGATAGCCTTTTTCACATCTTTCAAGAAACCCATTCCATATTTCCTGAGCTTTATTCTTGGAGCCTAGAGATAAACTCAAATATATAGTTGGTAGAGAACCCACCTCACATCCCAGTATAGCTGCTAGGACCTGGATATTATCCACTTCTTTAACTGGGAACAACATGCTCTTCCTCCAATTTACATGCAACACTGAAACTGTTTCAAATATAACAAGAATAACTCTTAGGTATTTTAGTTGATCTGCTTTGCCTCACAAAAACTAAAGAATCATCAGCATTTAGAAGATGGGTGATCTCCACACTATCTCCTTCCCTGTTGAAGTATTAAAATCTTTCAGCCAACCATTGTTGTTTGCATTTCTTAACATTTGATTCAGTCCCTCCATAGCAAAGAGGAAAAGAAAAGGTGATAAGGGGTCCCCTTGTCTCAAGCCTCTTTTAGAAGGAATAAAGCCTCCTCTGGAGAAATTCACCAATATGGAAAATCTGACTGTTTTGGTGCAGAAAGATATCCAGTTAATCCACTTCCTACCCAAAACCATATCCTGAAGAACTTTGAGTAAGAAGTTCCAATTAACATGATCATAGGCCTTCTCAATATCAAGCTTACAAAGTATTCCTGGGACCTGCCCTTTAAGTCTAGAGTCCACACATTCATTTGCAATCAAAGAAGCACCCATGATTTGTCTGCCTCTTATGAAGGCCATTTCATGCTCATTTACTAGCTTGTCCACCACTTTCTTGAGCCTCTCTGTCAACAATTTGGAAATGATTGATCTTGTATATGCTTCTTATTAGACCAATAGGTCTAAAGTCCTTAAGTTCCTTTGCACCATTCTTCTTAGGAATAAGGGCTATGTAAGAAGCATTGGAACTCTTCTCAAAATACTCATTGTTGTGAAAGTCCTGATGGTATGTATGATATCTTCTTTCACAATCTCCCAACAATTATGGAAAAACCCCATAGAGAAACCATCAGGTGCCTTGTCAGCTGCAGAACAAATATATTTTTTTATAAGGATAATAAACACACAAAAACAAATTTTTCGAGAATATGTTCTTTTTCTTGATCCAATTCAACACCTTAGATTTGTGAGAACGTTCTGAGTACAAGTAGAACCGCAAACTGTCAAGGTATTGTAAATGAGTTCTTCCTATCTTCTGGATGCCATTTCCATATGCTCCTATAAAAAAAACCAAAAGTTAGGCTCACAAGAGAAATTGATAAGTCTTGGGTTCTTACGCTCTGTTTGGTTCCATAAAGTTGAGGAGAGGGTAAAGGAGAGAAAGTTCATTTAGTAGTATTCAGCATTTCTTCTTTTCCGTCCAATCTTGGAGGGGCTAAAAAAGGTTGACTTGGAGGGGAGCCGACCTCTCTACATTTACTTCTGTTCATATTTTACTTCCTTGCCAAACAAGAGAAATAACCTTTTTAACCTAAATTTTTACTTACCCTTCACCAACCTTTCCTCACCCCAACCAAACGTAGAGTTAGAGCAGAAAAGTACTCTAAGTAACGCTCGAATTTCCATGAGCCTAACCCCTTTAAACTATTGTTCCTCCTTGAACCACGACAGCAAGAAGTAGGCAGTGGGATAACTTCAGAATGCCTCGTATCAGCTGTTATCTTACTTTACGTCTTTGACGTGAACATGGTTGTGTTTTGAACTGCGAACAACAAGAAGCTTGCGTGGCATAACCTCAGAGTGGCTTGTATCAGCTGTCACCTTATTTTTTCATGTTAGTGCACGTGATCGTGGTTTGAACTGTGACATACTTGGGGATTCCATATTAATCCTTTCCTGATCAGTTGCTGTGGTGGAAAATTACGATATCAGCTTTGCACCTTTGAAACTATTAGCACAATGTTGATTTCCGTGCTCTAGGAAGGGGAAGCAACATTGCTCCTTCCCACTCTTTTTCTTTGATCAGGTAAAGTTAGGTTTCATTCAATAAGCATCGCGGGGATACTGAGTACAAAAAAGAGGCTAGCTCCTGTACATTCCATTAACTCCTATCTAAAAACTCATTGCTCCTTCCCGCTCACAAATCTTGATATGGAAAATCTGAGTAAACAGATATATGACCTTCAAGGTTAGAATGGACTATAGCATTGGTCAGTAGCTTAATCATTGCTTTGACAGCAATTGAAGAGAAACAGCCTGCCACATCACCCACCCCCCAACAAGAGAACCCAACCCTCTGTATAGAAGCTGCAAGGTTGATGGAAAGTTTCTTATCTTCCTTATCAAGTGGTTTATTATCTGATACATCGGTTTCATTATTTTGATCCATTATGTTTTCTAATTTGTTCTTATCTAAAAGGAAAAAGTAAAAGAAAAAAAAAAGTTCTACTAAAATTAGGATAGAACTCAGTGAATCTACGATAGCAGCAGCGCCAATAAATGTGATTCCGATCAAGCCCTAGTTTACCCTATAATTGAGAGAAGAAATATTTTTTTCAAAAAACAACTACAAGGTTGAAATTAAAACCTTCTCACTGGACGATAGAAGAAGAAGATTGAGTAAAGAGGTAACCTGAAGGGTTAAGAAGGGAGCTGTTAATGCTCTTTACCGTCCCTCGACGCTTGCGCTTCGACATTGTTGTTATACTATTATTCGCACTGGCTTTCACCGGGCTTTCGATGAAGGAAAGACCAAATACCTTAGGAGTGTCAAATGCACAAATTGTATTCAATTTAGAGGACCATTGGCTTCTGTAGACTGTTTTACCCTCTCTCATTGCTTATTCAGAGCCAATTTGGATTAATTGGGCCATGTGTGGTGATCCGTCATGTCATCCTGCCACATAGGAGCTATTTGACATATATTAATATCACGTGGAAGCTTACATAAGAGTAAGGCTACCATTTGCGAGAAAATTTAGATAAGTATGGACATTTAAGGATCTGCTATGAAAGTCCTTGAAATCTTCTAGTAGGCTTGTAGAGAATTCTAGAAAATATTTTTATCTTGTAAATATTAAGTACTTGTGTAACAGTTAATATTTACACACTAGCCCCTAGGAGACTAGTATATAAAGGAGACCATTCATTTGTATTTTACCAAGCAAATAATTCAAATTCTCTCTAATACAAAGATTCCTTTAACAATTTTCTTGTGTTCTTTCTAACAATCTCTTAGCTATCTTGAGTGTAGTAAGGTTGATTTGGCATAGCAAGAACGTGAGTAAGTTGTGCAAGATCATGAACAAATTGTCAAGTGTCGCACGTGTACTTAGTTAACGACTAAGGACGTGACAACGTGGTATCAGGGCAAAGGTTGCAACTAAGGGAATGACGAACGACGGAGAAATTAACGCTGGCAATACCTAAGCCAGCATCATCCAAGATGTTGTTGGCAAAAGTGGCCGTAACAAAATGAGGAATGCCACCAACAAGATCCAGGAGGTGCCATCCGAGGCTGTGTCAAACGAAGGGCTTACATCCCAAGAATCATTTGCCACTGAGGCGAGCGAGGATGAAGTGGAGGTCCTGCCCGAGGACGTCTCGCTCGGTAAATAGTGGGTGATGAAGATGAATGCGGGGATAGACGTCGTGGAGATCTTTGGCCAACGCTTGGGGAAGGTGGAAGGCACTCTTAGCGTTCTTGAGGGGCACACTCTTGAAGAGATTGAGAGTATCCGAAATTACTTGGAGGGACGTACACAGACCGAGATGGAACTAAGGCAAACCATCACTGCTTTCATGGAGGCTTTAAGTACTATCGATGCTATGAAGGCAAAGATAGAGTCACTTGAGGAGCATATTAGTGTTGGCGTGACCGAGGTAGCCAGCAATGTTGTGGTGACAAGGGAGGCCAAGATCGAGGCTCCCAAACCCCCCGTGTTCAAAGGTGTTCGTGATGCACAATAAGTGTAAAACTTCCTTTAGCACTTGGAGATCTACTTCAAGCACGGCAAAGTGAGGGACGACGAGGCCATGATCAACACTGCACAGTTGTACCTCTCAGAGACTGCCATGCTATGGTGGAGAAGGAAGATGGCCGGCGTGGATAAAGGTCTATGTACTATTAGCACGTGAAATTAGTTCAAAGCCGAGTTCAAGCGACAGTTCTTTCCAAACAATCTATATCCCGTGCTGAATTGATTATTTACAATGACATGTATTTTATTCTTTTCTATATCATTATTAACTCAAATCTTTATTTTAATACTATTGATATTATTTTATAAAAGTGTGTATTTCATGACTCGCATACATGTGCAACGCACGTGGCGAGAAACTAGTATTAAAAAATGCACGAAATCCCTTAGCGAAAGACTTTACACTAGATAAAATAGTCATTTAATTATTTTCTTAATATTTAATAATAATAATTTAAATTTTTTTTTTTACATTCAGAAAATAGCCATTTAGTTATTTTTTAATATTTAGGGCTTTAATTTTTTTTCATTCTTTCCAATTCTAGAATTTCTTCTTTGGTTTTCGGTGAAAATGAGCATTTTGAACTCCTTTCCGATTTAGGAATCTTTATATGGAAAAGACACGAGAGTGGTTTGCTCTAGTGGTAAACACCTTCAACTTCCAACCAAGATGTTGTGAGTTCGAGTCATTCCAAGAGCAAGATGGGAGTTCTTTGAGGGAGGGAGCCGAGAGTCTATCGGAAATAATTTCTCTATCCCAGGGTAAGGGTAAGGTCTGCGTACATACTACCCTCCCCAGACCCCACTAGTGAGATTATACTGGGTTGTTATTGTTGTTGTATATGGAAAAAACACATTGAATCGAAGAAGTAAATTGTGAGGAATAAAGGAAGAGATATTTTATGAAAAATAGAAGAAAGAGATATTTGACCAATGTTCAACAAAATTTTCTATAGAAAATCAACGAAATATTTTTTTTCTTTTTATACCGTTATTAAGATTTATTTATTAGCGCATTGAAATGCTATGCACAACTTACGCGTCCAATAGTAAAAAAAAAAATATATATATATATATATATATATATATATATCCTTCTCCTTATCTATTTTAGGAACCAAATTTCGGCTCTCTTTTACCGTGTAATGAAGTGTCTCTTCTTTTTAAAGTATATTTTCTTTTTTGACTCTTATTATGATTTTGATATAAGAAAATTGAAATGCAAAAGGTATGCATAACTTACGTCTCTAATTGAATGAGTTTATCTTAGTAAAAGTTTAAAAAAAAATAGAAGACTATGTATGAAAAATATGTCTGATTCTATAAGGGTACAATAGTATTTCCATTACCCTTTAATCAAATAAACCTTCTATAATATTTATGTACCAAAATATAAATACATATTCTAATAATATTAAATTATCATATATTATTATGATTTCTTTAACCCAACATCAAATTTTAGAAATATTTCCAAACTAACATTTAAAAAGCACGTTAAGTATACATAGTTTAATAGTATTTAATAATTTTTTAAAAGTTTATACTTATTGAATGGGATACACGCGCAAAGTATGTACCTTAAACTAGTATATCTATATCTATATCTATATTATTATAAAAGCACGAATGTTGCACACTAAATGTTGAATGACAAAAATATCCTTGACATATTGATCGACTCTTTTAACCTTAAAAAATTAAATTAAGCTTCATTGCATCTAGGATAAAATAGTAACAATCGCTAATTGAATTCCTAATATTTATGGTCTTTGAATTAAGGCAAGTATGATTCAATTTGCACGGGATTCTAACACCAATCAAGTGTCCTACCTATTAGCGAAGACACACAAATCTCACGCCATTAAACCACTATATAAAGTGATATGAATTACATTTCTCTTGTAGTTTTATATGGTGCAAGCTGTAACGATCTCTCCCCCAATTTGTACGAGACCAAAGAAGTAGTTTATGTAGTGTTATAACTAAACTTCATATTATGTCCTGTTATCTAAAATTTTCTTTCTATTGATGCTGCTAATTATAGCTACTTATGAGATTGTACTATGTTGTTGTTATTATTGTTGATACTGCTAATCATAGTCCCTTGTCACTTTATTATTATTTTTATTTAACTAATTTTTGTTAGAGTATTTGGGACTTGAAGAACTTCTTCAATTGTTCACGGCCAAAATAACTTTAGCAATAAACACGTCGTATAGCAACGGAAAAATCAATCTCTAAATAAATAAACTTCCAAAGTTACTATTCATATGTATAATTACATTACCAATTTTGTCTTCATAGAAGTAGTATTTTTTAATAAATTCACGTAATCAAACTGTTTTCGCAGAGAGTACTAGAATAAAAATTACTATAATCACAAAATGGAATGAAAGGTCAAAACAGTACATTGACCTCTTTATAGTATAGTCTAAACTCTAAAGTAATAGACAGAAAGAAAAACTTAAAATTACTTCGGATGAAAAAACCAAGCTCTACAGGGCAACGATTTTGACGGGACTCTTTTTGTAGAGTCACTATTTTTCGTTCTCTTATTTATATTTAGGAGCAAATATTTGCCTTTCTTTATTTGTTATGTTCTTAGGAATGGAACAAAATTGATTCTTTCTTAAGAAGGTAATTTCCTCTTTTATTTGCATTACGAATAAGAATTCTCGGAATTGAAAATATTTGATTCCTTCGTTAAAAATACATTTTCCTTTTTATTTGAGTTAGAAATTTTAGGGATGCTTTTAAAACCTTTTTATTCAGTTTAGGTTAGGAATTTTAGGAATGTATTTTCTTACTTTAAACACAATTTAATTCCTTCTTGAAAAATGCTACTTTATTAAAAAAAAAATCTTCTGCGAGTTTGCCTTTAAATATCCAAGATTAATTTATCTTTTTATATAATTTTGTGCTACCTAAAATTTAATATTACTTGATCATTGCATGTTTTTAAAGTAAATAAATATATTAAATAAGATATGACCATATTGCATATTTCTACACTATCAATAAATATAAATACTATCTAACTTGATTAAATTGATTATATATGCAAGTTTAGACGATGTTTGATTTTTTCCCCCCATGTAATGACAATGATTTTTTGCATTTAAAAGATTTTATTATTTTTTCCATATTAATTGCTTTACAACAATCCATATATACATCTTTTATAGAAAATAATGCTTGTATTAGGGTAGATTGTCTACATCACACCCGTTGAGGTGCGATCCTTTTCTGGGCCTTGCGTGAATGCGGAATACCTTATGCACTGAGCTACCCTTTAATTGATTAAATATTTACGTGCAACGCACGTACATAGAGATTAGTTATATTAAAAGTACGAATGCCCTTAACGAAATGTCGTTCGCCTTTTTTACCCTTTAAAAATAAATTTAGCATTGGACATAATATAATAGTAATTTAATTATTTTCCTAATATTTAGGAATTTGAATTCAAGTAAAATATTACATATTAAAACCTTCCTTATTTAACATACTATATATGGAATATAATATTTAGAACTTTAAAATTAATTAATTTTACCTAATAAAAACCTTTTCAAATGTGAACTATTACATGAAACCTTAAATCATTAACGTGGTGGTAAACAAAAGCACTTTTTTCAGCTGTATTTTGAATTCAAGTTTATGTGACATTCAAATATTCAATCAGATAATAAATAATTGATTTTATTCGGTTGAATATTTCAATGATTCGTAGGCACAACAGTAGCACTTTGGTCCAAACTATAATATGTTGAGCTTTGTCGTAAGTTTACTCATTCATATAATATTTATTTTACAAATT